AAGTTGTTAAATAGGTTAGCTTTGTTGTCTGGTGTGACAACCAAATTTCCTAGTGTGTCTTGCAGGGGCCCCACGTTACCCAGTACCTTCTTTTTGCTCCCTATGTATTTAAAAAAGGACTTCTTGTTCTTGATCCGAGAAACTAGTCCCAGTTCCATCTCCGCCTTGGCCTTCCTGACCGCCCCCCTGCATCCCCGAGCAACCGCGGTATAGTCCTCCCTGGTGATGGCCCCTCCCTTCCATTGGGTGTACGCCTCCCTTTTAGCCAGAAGACATTCCCGGATGCTTTTGATGAGCCATGGGGGCTTTTCTGCCCTCCTGCCCCTTTTGATGCGTGTTGGGATTACCTCCCTTTGGGCTTGGAGGATCATCTTCTTCAGGAGCAACAACTCTTCTCGGACACCTGGCTCCCCTCCCCTACTAATAGACCAGGGTTCTGTTATGCTGGGTTCTGTACAAACAGAGCATGAATATGGTACTTGTCCCAAAGTAATTGCACCAGTTTCTTCTGGGGACATTCAAGATGATGATTATCAACCAAAAGCCCTGTCTCACCCTGGACATTATTTTTCTGATCTCTTCCTTGTTTGTGGCAGTTGCACTTTTACAGAAACCTTGTTTTTCTGTCTCCAGGATTGAACTCCTAGGGGAAGTGTTTCATTCTTAGCAGAAGATCCTTAGCTCTGGAATTCACTTTTGTTTGCAGTGTATTTGACTGAGGGTCTGGTGATTTGATCTTACTGCTTTTTGGCTCTTCAGGAAGAGAACATAGAGCTTGCGTTGATTCTGTATTGTTTTCCTTCTTAAATCGGGCAATTATTTTGCAAATGAGTGGAGGATACAGAGCCTGGAATAGGTTTGATTTTTGTCAAATGTTTGCAATAGTTGTTAGAATTGATTTTTTGTAGGATTTACCCAGATAGTCCAATGATGGGTGGGATGTACATAAATTAAATAATTAGCTCCTTTTGGTCATCTGAGATTCCATAAAAATATGCATCACAAGGACTCCTGCTGCTGCCTTAAGGCACAGACTGGAATAGCTGGAGGCATTCTCATTCACTCTGGGTGTCACATGGCCTGATCCTGCAGTCACTCAGACATATTATTGAAGCCATTTGGAGTTCTGCACATGAGAAGAGCTCCTGCAAAGTGTAAAGTGTCTTTATCTGTCAGTGAAATCCGTGGGAGAAAAGGGAAATAAGGACCCAGGATGGGAAATAAGGACCCATTGTTAAGCACCTTGCACTATCAGGTCTGTGGATTCTTTACAGTTCTAATGGGTCTTGATCTTTAGCACCCTGGAGGAATTGGAATGCTCTTAAAGAGGGATTACATTTACTTTGGTACAGTTCCATATTTTCTTAATATCTTCACATAATATTGCAAAGTAATACAAACAAAACAATGCCAAAACATTAGATTACCATTAAATGTATGCATTTTATATACCCACATCCCTGTTTTTCAGGTGTTTTGATGGGGGACGTGCAAAATACTGTTTGATATAGTACACTAGAATGTTGTATTTTGTGAGATAGGAACACAATAGAAAGTGAAACGAAAGAAAATTAAGTGGTCACCCATTAAATATCTAACATTACCAAAATTAAGTACTACACTGGGAGATAATTTTGAAAGAAATCAGACAAAAAGCATGCCTGGTTTTAATTTACGGTTTTTACAAACTGCTTTTTACTGTCATTAAAAAAAAAATTGTATTAACTAGTCCTGGGTTTATTTCTTCATCTTTTTTAACCAGTGATGGTACCTGGCTAGTTAGAGAGATCAACCAGTTATGACCATTTTATATTTTGCATGCATTGAATATTACTTTGCATATCTCTAAAACAAAAAAATATTGTAGGTTAAGTACTCATGAGTCAGGATTATTAGGTTCAATTTTGGATTACATTCTTGGCAACCTATTTATTTTAGTGAGACTGCACGTGGTTTAGGTCACAACTTAAATTTGGCTCAGTAATCTTGTGATATTTTACTCTGTATAAACAGAGTGAGTGAATTTCTGGCCCATTGAAGTCAATGGGATGTTTGCCAAGTCAGTAGGAATTCTGCCATTGATTTCAGTGGGCCAGAACTTTTCCCACTGTTGCAACTGATCCTTTACTGCATATCTATAGTTTTACACAGATTGACTCCAGTGAAATTGTGCATATTGATTTGGTCAGGTGAACTGTGCATATTGATTTGGTCGGGTGAATTGTTTTATTCACAGTTTGTATGGTGAATAAGGCCAGATATTTTTCTAGCAGAAATAATCATAAAGGCTAAAATTTTCCAAAGCACTTTAGTGTATTAGTAGTTTTAGTCTCTGTTTCAGAAGTGACAGGCACTTATGAATCAATGGAGTTTAGGCTTCGAAGTCACTTACAAGCGTGACATTCTGTTCTTTTCTGGATACCTAGATGGAGAGATTTGGTTGTCTGTATGGTTGTCTAAATCCCTAAAATGCCCTTACGTACAGGTCAGGACATTATTCCTCTGTGTGTACCCCTATGTATGTGAATGACTACGTATATGCCCCAAAATAGAGTGCCACCTTGTGTATAAGCAGGATTTGGGGTACTTAGATGTCCAAGCAGACTACCAAATCTAATCATCTAGGTACCCAGAAAAAAAAATCCCACTTTAGAAGAGATTAGCCAATTTCATGCTTGTCCAGTGCTTTGAATGGATAAACTATATGAGCATATAAACAAACATAGAAACTCCTAAATAATGTGAACTACAACCTCCTTGTTTCACTCCAAGAATTTGCTGAGGTGGGTTGTAAGTATTTATATAGTTATTTATTTTACTGGGACAAATCCTAAAATGCCTATACAGTTCTGTCCTTTACTTAGCCAAAACTCTGTCAGTGGAAACTTGGCTTGAGTGAAGAATGAGTTAGACCTTCAGTGGTTGGTCTGTTCTGGCTAGTGATTTCTTGGTAATGGCATTATGTATTTTTTATATTTAAAATAAATGAATCCAGAGGGTTGATGCCATATTTTATGACATACCACACAATGCCAAATGTGGTCTCAAATACCACAAAAACCTTGCTTTGGGAAGGCAGAATGATGAAAAAAGATTTTTCTAGAGTCATGGCTGAATCCTGACTGTAGGGGATCCTGACTGCATAGTTACATTCCGACCGATGCTGCTCAGCCAAAAGCTACAGTTTGAACCCTCTTACAGTTGTTGCCAAATTGGCAGCAGCTTTTGGCTGCATCTGAAAGCATTAAAATTGTGACAGGGTACAGTGCACTCTGCCCTTCCCTCTCTGTGGCCATGGAGAGTAGAGCCCTAGCAGCAGTTACGGAAGCCCAGTGCTTCTATCCTGATGCAGCACTCTGCTTCCCTGCTTAAGATAGGCACCCCAATTTTGGAGGGCTCATTTTTGGGGGACAGGCATGTGTAGTAAATATAATAATGTCATTGATAAAAGCCAAATATTAATTTCTCTACACCCTTCAATTTTTTTTTCTATAATGAAGATTAGACTATTGGTATGACTGCAAAGCTGAGAACAAATCATTTCAAAATAAACTAAAAATGTATCAGTGAAAGGAAAATTGGTAGTCTTGTAGATGTTTATTACACATGTTTTAAAGTTTGGGTCTGA